GATTCACATCACTGAAGGCACTCCTATTCTGTAGAGAATAAAATAGACCAAAAACTTTGAAATCTGACTAAGGACAGTCACTGAAAAATTCGAAACCTCTCCTTGCCATTCAGCTAGCTGACCACTAGCTGTCCCCATTGCTTCACAGGAGTGAAGTGATGGAACTGTAAGACTACTTGGAGATGAGCATGACTCCAAAAATAAGTGCTGATACTTAGAGGGGAAGAAAAAACAACACAACACCCCCCCCCCCAAAAAAAAAAACCAAACAAAAAACCCCAAAACCAAACAAACCCATGAAAGCTCAGAAAAATTTAAATGAGCTATTACAGTTCTGGAAGTCTGCAGATAAGAAATGGATGCATAGGGAAAGGTCTACATCCCAGGACAGTGATGTGGTTACAAACTGAGACAGAGCAGCATGGAAAGCTGAGGATACAGTCATAGCAGATCTATGGCTTTATGAGATGAGAAAGGAAAGCCCTGAAGACCTATTCACTTAGCAGAATAGGAATAATCAAAGTGGAGTGGAGCATTCTGATGTTCTTGCCTACCCTCTGACCACAGCCATTACATCATCATCTGCAGTATCTGACAAAACCATCTTAAGACATGTTTTCCCAACCAGTACCTATGGTAGACACTACTTCCTAAACTCAGAATATAGAGACTATTCAAATATAGAACTGGAAAAAATGTGTATCAGAGAGGCCATAGGGTGAAAGTGGTTTAGGCCAATCTCAAAACCATAAAGTTCTTCCCTCTCTTGAGAAATCAGGACAATTTCTCATTTCCATTCATCTTTTGGCTCCTCAATGTGAGCCCAGAACACAGAATTGTTACTATATTTGTTAGATTGACAAGATTTTGGATTTGGTCTCTCCACAAATCAACTTAGAGGAATCATGTTTCATATTGATAATGGTTGGGATTTATTATCACATAGCAGATGCTATTAAGAAGGCAGAATAGTATTTTACAAGGCAATTAATTCCACCTTACTTGCTTTTTTAGCTTTAATGGTGCTACTCACAAAAGAATAATGAAAGACTGCATATGCTTAATAAAATCTATGTTATAAATTTGGATGCTATTTATTGCTTTTTGTTCAGCCTTTGTAAATCAGACCCATTATCTGCTATAACATTTGCTCATAAAAATCAAAGACAAGGCAATGTCATTTCTGACATGCCCAGACTCCAGTAGACCCCTCTAGCCAGTGAAGCTGCTAATATGTCATATAAGGGCAGCTGTCACTCAAGTCAGATATTTAGATCAGAATCTACCCTTCTTCTTTGCTACATTACAGTCAAGCAAAGATGAGAAGGGCAGTAAAGGTTGAGATTACTATATCCTTCAAAATACATTTATATGGAAAACATTCTCAGGGAAGAGAGACATATTCCCACTTTGTTACTTCAAGCTTCTGCTCCAGAGGGATCTCCCTCCTACTTGGCCACTATCACTCCTGCACATCAAAGCATAACGCACTAAACCAAAATGCTTGCAGAGAGCTTTATTCAGAATAGCAAAATGAAATTCAGAATTGTCAGTGCAGGATTATTAGTAAAATAATGTAAGAAGTAAAATGCGAGTTCTAAATTTCACCATGTTGGAGCAGAAGAGTTCAGAATTCAAAATATATCTGCAATTTTCTTTAAAATGCACTAAAATCCTGAATAAAAACTCCTCCCAGTTTGAAATCTACAATTTAGTTCCAAATTCTGAACCTTGCAGTATGCAGTATCAATGTACATAGAAAAGCTGGGCATCTGATGCGCCACTAGCTACCTAGTGAACGCCTGTGTGAAGTGAACTGTGATTTTTTTTCACATATGAACGCATTGTACTAGTGCATTCTAACAGCCTTTAAGCTTTATTCACCAAAATAAGTAGCTCCAAATACTGTGAACATATAGTACTGTGAACATATAGTACTGTGAACATATAGTACTGTGAACATATAGTACTGTGAACATATAGTACTGTGCCCAAATACTTTACAGATGTAACAACTAACTGGAGAAACTTCTGATTTTTTTTTTTTCCAGAAGCAGCTTTGACTGAAGAATACTATATTCATAAAGGACTGGGTATACATATAGCCTGAACTCCCCAAGATGACACCTGTTACTAACACATATTCTTGCTAGAAAGTATGAAAAGCAATTCAAATCTAAATCCCTTTATACTTTGTGTTTGAGAACCTAGGAAAATGTTTAGTTCTAAATGAACTATATCAGTATGTGATTATTCACATATCCCCAGCAGTTAAAAATATCTAAGTCTAAAGAATGTGGTTCAACTAATAAGTTAGATTCAAATTATATAAACTAAAAAAACTCGGGCTAACCGAAGACAAAATACAGCTTGCTGAAATCAGAGCAGCTTAGGGTACTTTGGAATCCAAAGGGGACAGTTTCCTGCTTAGTGGTCACGGCATGTGGCCAGAGGAGTGAAGTATTGCCAGTTTAACAATCATACATTGTAAAGTTCTTTCCTTCAGCAGTATGGAACAAGGAACACAGTCTCCTTCAATGTCAATATATACACATATTAGCTGAAAGCATTAAAAGGCATTTTTATGTCATAATTACTGATTTTTTTTCTAATAAATATGAATAAACACTATTTTACTGCTTTCAGAATCAAATTATACCATTACCAAAAAAAATGGATCAAAATGTTTCTCATGTCACAATGTTACAGCAGGATAGAGAAGGAATGCGCGACTAGAGTCTGGTGTATCCAACACTCCTCAACACTGAAGAAGGGCAGATCAAGATCCAAACTGTGCAGTGAGACCCAGCCCTTCTGCAGTGTTTCGTGCTGTTGGTATACTAGCTATTTAAGGCCTGCAGGAAAAGTTCTGTCGAAATGAATGAACATAATTGGAACATTTTCCAGACAGCTGGAGGGCTACAACTAATGCTACTGTAAATGAGCAAATGCTGCTTTTTTCTCTGGCTGATTTATTGGTCCACCTGCATTCAGGAGAGGTACAGAAATGCTTAAAAGGATAAGTCTTCCACAGTTTTGAAGAGGAGGAAAGGAAATTGAAACCAAGTTACAACAAAAAGCTGTAAAAATCTCTTTGTAACTACTTCACTATAGTCTGAACTTGGGAGCTACCAAGCAACCAAGTTGTCTAGATGATTGAGAAAGGGAGTAAAACACTTTAGTAAAAGAAAAAGTATATATAGATCATGCTATATTTAAATCTCACTGCATTGATAACTACAGACACAGGCTGTCTAGAGACAACTAATTCATAATTAGACAAATATGATTTGTTTTGCTGATACAAGAGAATCAAGCTGTTCAGATAATATGAGGTACTGATTATTGACCTCCCCAGATCGGAGGAGTCTATACCAGCAGCTATACTTGATCATTTTCAATGGCCAGCTGTCACAGATGTGTAAATTGCAACTGAATAAGCTCACATATGCAAGCAGAAGAAAGAGTTTCTGCTAACTTCCCCTCACCTAATGATGTTAAAAAATACCTTTCAACAATTATGCTGGCAAAACATCATCCTCCAAAAACTCATAAGAAGCAAGAAGTAAAAGAGTACAAGGTTTACCCTAGAGTACAGTAGGAAAATCTTAACAAATACGCAGAGAAGGTAGCCTGTGCTTCTCCACCTAGCCCTGAAATTAAGAGTCAAAAAAGCTTTTTCCACAACTACAGCCACAACCTCTCTAGTGAATACAGCCTAAGGACAGCATTCCCCCACAAAGGAAAACAACGGTGTTGTCAGGTGTGCAAAGTGATTCTTTCCTCCTGAGAACCAGGAGGAACCTGTAAGTTTAAATGGTGTTAAAGTGCAAAAGAGCCTCAAAGAAAAAAATACACCACTGAAGAAAGAAAAAACTCATTATACTTTGCACCTGTTTAAGAAAAAAAAAAATCCTTTTAACAACTTGGTTCATTAATAAAGGTGCAATTAAGTATCACATCATTAAAGGAACAGGAATGAAAACAGAGTACATTCTCATTAAGAGACAATGGTAAAGTACCTATCTCAAAAAAAAAGAATCAACACTTTCTCTCCTCACTCCTGGTTATAGATAATCTCATAGGAACTTGTTATTTACAAACACAGGATTGCTCCTGAAAGTTAGGAAACTGCTTTTTTGAGCTAAAAAGCTAAAACTTGTTCCCATATTTCTAAGAAAAGGTGTCACTTATTGTGAACAAGCACAGCAATGAGAACAGAAAAATCTTTAGGGAAAACTGCCACTCATTTCAATATCACAAACAAGACACAAGCATAGGGAAAGTGACAAATTTTGCATTCTCTCAATAACAGATTCTCTTTCTGTTAACATTGGAAGTTAGAATAGAGAAACTTCAATCACTGTGGCAAGGAGCCAGCTCATGAATAGGCTTGCTAACATCAACAAGACTATTCGTATGAACAAATGCTCAAAATGACTATGAGACCATGTATATCCTTTGTAATGTTAAAATCAGGAGGATTACTCTGGTTTCTAAGTGCTCTCCCACATGGACTAAGAGCTGAAGTCAAGAAGAGTGTTCATGTGAGAAACTATGTAAGAGCTGCAGTTAAAGACTGAACTGGTCGTTTTTTTCAGTTAAAAAATATAATATAGCACATTATAACAAAAGAACTACTGGACTAGCAGATACCAGGCTTTAACAAACTGCAGTCCAGTGTCTGAAGTTAGATTCTGACATGTAATGCTCAAGAAAAATACTATTTCTGCAGTTATTGGTTAACTACGGCTGCAATGTTGCTTGAAGACCATGAGATTTCAAACTACATTCAAAAAGTATAGAACCAGGATGGTAACATAAAGGATCTGTGAGAAAGGAAGCACTAGAGCTAGCAGCAAGGTGGGGTTGCCTGCATGGTCAGCCCTTCATTTGAATGCAAATGTAATTTTGGGGCAGGCAGTTATCTGTGACATCAGGCAGGACCTTAGTAAACTGTTACCACCAGCACCTGGTAAAACCATTGTTAATCATGTGTAGTAAAGGGACATCAGGGCTAGCATGAGTCATTTATAGAGCCAGGCAGGGCTAGAAAAGAGACAGAAAGAAAGAGGAGGGGAAGGGAGATCAAACAAACACTGTGAGGAGCAGGATGTCCCAGCAAGACAAAGCCAGGCTGTGAGCATCATGTATGTGAGTTATCTTTTGGATAACGAAACCAGCATGTATCCAGGATCTGCAAGGTGCAGCAGCAACAACCTGCCAGTGCAAAACTTTGTGTCTACTCCACCCTATTCCGATTACATGGGATATCATCATGTGCCAACTCTGGACACCCATGGACAGCCTGCGGGAACCTGGGGATCTCACTATGGCCCACAGAGGGAGGACTGGAATGCTTACGGCCCAGGACCCTCCAGCACCGTTGCTGCTGCTGCTGCACAGATCAATGGCTCATCTCCTGGACAGGTCTCCTACAGTTCTGCTGACTACAGCTCCCTCCATCCCGCTGCATCTGGGGGGCTACCTCCTGTAGAAACAATTAATACACAGCAAATCTCTCCCAACAGCCAAAGGCACAGCTCTTATGAATGGATGAGGAAAACAGTGCAATCCACTTCTACAGGTATGGGCGCTGAGGTTTTACACTCAGAAGAGATGGTACTTTTTTTTATTGTTGGTTTTTTTTATTGCCTGGTTCCCTGTTTAGAGGGAAGCATACAGTTCACAAAGAAAAATCCTAATTGCTCTGAAGGATTCTCTTGCTAGCAGTTAAATACTGGTTTGATTATTAGTCAGCTGATCAAAACCAGCATCTATTTCTTATACTTCTTTCTTGACCTTTAATGCTGAGGCAAAAGAAAAGCAATGTCCTTTGACAGTGAAGTATTTTCACTTCAGGTGTGTTAAAAAAAAGTGATATCAAATAATTGTTTTTAATAGGAGTCCTAGAGATTGGAATGAAACAGCATGTCTTCAGAAAGAAAGAATGATGAAAGTATTATATTTCACCAACAACTATACTTTGCTTATTTTCCTCCAGTTTTAGATTACATATGAAAAGTTCAAGTAAAATATATACAGTAGGCAGGTTGGAAATAAGGTTTTGTATTAGAAACAACCTCTCTAAACCGCAGAACACTGAAATGAAATAAGACCTGCAAGTTCAAACAATGAGTCGATGCTTTAGAAACAGGAATGATAAGGAAAGGCTTCCTTCACTTTGTAGTAGTAGCTCTCAGAATATGCAGGAATACAAAGAACCAGGGTAACACAATCAGTTAATACAGCAACAGATCAGACCGATGCGTAACAGTCAATGAGTGCAAAACAATTCTTCAGTCATATTTAACCAGTAAAAATAAGTCATGAAGATGAGGAAAAGGTTCTGTTTGATTGTGATCAGGAACAACAGAAAAAATATAAATATTGAGCATCCCTAAAACAAAAATCTGTACCTTCTATGAATAGAAAACAATTATGAAATGAGAACAGGGAGAAGAAAAAGAGGGAAAACTGCCTGAAAAGAATAGAGGTACAATCTGCAATATAAAAGTATTTGATCCTCCGAGGTGCTGAGCAGCTTTGACATGCACTGAGATCAGTAGAAATTAAGGATGCTCAATACCTCCCCTAAAGAGATGGTCATAGTATTTCAGTGTTATATCCCAGGAAGGTGCCTCTCCTTTCAGCCCTTCTTCCCACCCCAGCTCTGTTCCACACTTCCCTGTAAATAATAGTTTTCAAAGCAAGTAGTGAATCAATCTCTGACAGAAAAGTAATTACTAAAAACATACTTTTAAAAAATGAAAGCAACTATATAGAAAAATTGTCTTTATTAAAATTAGGCACCTAATTGATATGGACATCCTCACTCCTGCTATTTAAAAAAAAAAAAAAAAGTGCTAAAAGAGAAGCTATGTTGAAAACCTCTCTACACTCATGGTGAATAAAAATTTTTTTTGGGGGGGGGGGGTGGTGAAAGAGTAGTTGGGCTTTCTAAAACCGTATTTGTTCTTCACTGAATACTACTCCAGAAAAACAAAAGAGAGCTGGTCTTGCAAAACCTTACAGCTTACTTTTGAGTAGTCCTTATAAAGCAATGAAATCGCTCACAAACTATGTTTTACAGATGGCAGAAGAGGTGCTCAAAAAACCCCATTACTTCTCAACTCTTTACCTACCTGCCTTTTGTGCCTGTGGATTTAAATTGCAGCCTCTCTGAGAGAAAGATCTGATTTGATCTGTCTGTGCCATCCCTTTTATAAAGGGGATGCTGTGAAAGATCTCTATATATAGTATTGAGATATCATACAGAGATATAGGTATAATAGACAATAACATTCTAACTGCCTCCCTAAGCAGCTTGCTTAGGGCTTTCTAACCTTTCAAATTTCAAGCCTGCAAGGGTCAGAGCATTCACAGGAGGTGAAAGCTGTATGCATACATCAAGCATTACCCTTCCATCTCTCAAAATCTTCAGGAATTTCAATAGAGCCTCTATATAGGCAAGAGTGAAGGAATCACACTTATTATTTATTAGCTTTCCTTATTCCCTGTGAAATAGATATGAGCCACTACTCTTAAAGATAGATGAACTGAGGCTCAGACTTACCTGAAGTGGTCAGCAAGAAAACAGACAAATTAATTTTATCATTTGTTCATTTGTTGTTGCAAAATACTAGTTATCAATAATATTTCACTATGGAAACAATAACTATTAAGGCAAGCGATTTTTGCAAGATATTCTTGAAAGTGTGCAAGAAAAATTCCTATGATCTTATCCCTTTAAGATCAGGACAGATTCTTTCCACAGGTTTACTTACATAGAGTAGTCTGACTTGTAACAGCTACAGAAACAAGGCCCAGAATCCATGACATTTGCATCGCCAGAGATTTCATGGTTAGCTTCTCTTGTTGGTGCTTTGTGGCCTCAGGACCTGCCAGATGACAAACAAAACACTTTATTGAAATTTCTACCACTGTCTCGTGGTCTTTTGATACTGTTACCTACACAACTAACCTGGGACAAAAGAAGATATGATTTCATGTCTTACTCTGTGACTTTAAAAACAACATCCAATATAAAACCATGTCTTCAACTGTTGTTAAGTAATTTATTGAAATGTATGAGGTTATGCTACTTGAAACCACTGGAAGATTTCAGATAGTCAGCGAGATTATCATCCTGGTTTTACTAGATGGGTTCCTGGAATGCACTTCTTGTAGAAAAGCCCTAATAAGGCTTTCATCCATCATTCTCTCTGGTTGAAGGATGTGCGAATGTGTTTTCCTGCAGCTTTGAAACTGGAGGGATTTGGACTTGATCCTAAATGCAGTGCACATAGGATTCAATGCCTAGTCACTGCATTCTTGAGGATGTTCAGGATACAGGAGAAAGCAAATGTGTTTTGACTTGGAACACTTTAAGGAGGAACCACTGACTACTTAGTATGTTCAACCAAGAACAGAGATTGAAAAAGACCCCTCTCTAGCCCTTATACTGCCCTGTCCCCTTCTCCTACACCACCACTTCGACAGGGTGAGCAAAGCAAAGGCAGATAGCAATTATAGCAGAGGACATAAAAGCTACAACAACTAAAGATTTGAGGTGGCAATTCCACATGCACACAAAGCATAATTACAGGTAAATTCTTCGATAGACAGTAGAATAAAATCACTTTAGAACAAGTTACAAATCTCCTCCTGTTGATTTCAATATTTTTATGGAGGTATGCAATCACTCACACTGGAGTGGACTTTACTTTTTTGTCTTTGTGACAACACAGCACACATCTGTGGTATAACTGCCAAAAACAATGGGTTTGAACAGTTAACTACAGGAAGTTCCAGCAGCAATGAGAATTTGCTCACAAAACTGAAAGTACATCTTAAGATCTGAACTTAAGTTACCATAAAACAGGGAGGGAACAAGTTTTAAAACAGAGGTAAACTATAAGCATAGACTTTTCTCATAGATGATAACTATGATATCACTCTTGTTCAATAAAAACTTACTCTGAAGACAAAGACATGCTGATGACAGGTGCTCACAGCTTCATTACCAAATGCACTGTAACATAACACATCTAGAGAAGAAGCAAGAAGTTACATTCCCTCAAATCTAAGGAAGAGAAACAAGCCTCTTAAGAAGCCATTCCTGCAAAATGCTGGATGCCTAAAGAACATACAACACTTGGAAAAAATTTCAGCTAACCACTTGCTTTTTAGTCTGTACAGTCATTGGCAATGTGATCTCCCCTGATCTTGCCACTTAGAAATCCACCTACATTTTCTGCAGGCTGGGTCCTTCTGCCAAACAAGATCCATACAGGGCAGTCTGCCCAATCTTAAACCTTGTTTAAAGGTGATAAAAAATGATTCTGCTTTGGATTCAGTTACTTCTGTATGATCATAGAATCGCCTGGTTGGAAAAGACTTTTAAGAACATCAAGTCCAACCGTACCTGACGAAGTGATAGAAAATTTTACACTAGCACAGTGAAGGACATTTGGTCAATGAGCTTTATTACAGAATAGCAGAACATACTAAAGCTGAAAATATCAGCATTTTAAATAGAAGTCAACAGAAGGAAAAATTCTCCAAGCCTGTTGAAAGGTTCCAATTCTATGATCCTATTCTGTTCTTTTCGGCATGAGTCATCTGAACATGTATAACAAGAACAAATGAACAAGACTCATCAGAAAATAAAAACATAGAACGTCACCAGGTTTCACAAACCTTTATGTATCCAACTTTGCAAAAATGAACAGTCCTACTCATCACACTAAGACTTCTGGAAGGAATATTATTACTCATTATACAGGATTGGATCCATGTAACATTTTCTAATACAATAGCAGTGTGTACTTTTGGTTTTTTTAATTTAACTTTACAGAACATCATATGCAGCAAAATGTTCATCTTCAAGACTTATTTAAAATTACTTTTGTTTCACAACTTCAATTAAGTCAGTGAAATTACAGTAGGGAGGAATTTGATCCTTTCTTTTCCTACACTTTTAAAGTGCATAAATATTTAAAGATAGTCCCAAAACAAAAAGCTGGGGCCTGATCTCTGACAGTCCTTATCTTTATAGACTCAAAACCTAATGCTAATCTCTCTCTTAATGCTGAACTAAAATAAAGATGCAGATCTGAACTGAGCATATCTTTAGGTCAGAAAGCTGTTTCACATTTCAAGCTGACTTTAGCTAGACTGCAATCATCAAGTACAGACATTAACTCCCTCTGAAACGATGTTAAACTATGGAATCCAGATTACAGTGCTTTATATGTAATCCAACAGTAATCTGACATGATTCTGTGATTCTTCTGTCTAAATTAGGTAGCTTCTGGATTTTATGAATGATGCCACTTTCAGTGGATGAAGAGTATTCCTGAAAAGTTAAGAGAGGAGGCACTGAAAAAGGGGCCAGGGCTAGTTCTAATGCTAATTTATTTTGCTTTGTAAACTAGTTGTGAGGTCCGATGGTGGGGTTTTTTTTTTCCCTTTCCTGGGCTACATTGTCTGAGGTTTTGAGGCCTATCTGTCATATTGAGGCAACAGACCCTTTTAACACTTCACTTTGCTTTGATATGCAGTCTTGTCTCTTCCTTCTCCCTCTTTTCTTCAGGAGTTATATTGCCGGAAAGGGTGATGATTTTCACAGCAAATAAAGAGGCCTTCCCCTAGCTTTATTGTCTTCAGAAGAAATGCTCTGTGAATTTTATGACCAATGGGAAAGCTGTTCCCTTCCCCCAACTCAAAACTTGACCAGTCACAAACATTGCTAGAGTGGGCGTGATAGAACAGGACTGTTAAACTATATCTCAGGAAAATTTTTTCTACTTCTGAAATGCCTTCTTTCCTTTACTCCAAAGGCACTCTTCAATAATCATTATTTGCAAAACAGGTTTTTGATAAAGCTCACTCTTCTTCAATAGCTCATTAAAACCAGGAAATCCACTCCCCCAACACAAAGGCAGTCACACTGCAAAGGTACTTGCTTCAAAGCTCTTTTGTTCTATTTTTCTTCCACCCAACTACTAATAACCTCTCCAAACATTTGTGATGGCATAGTATAACTATCCATGACAGAACACATTTCCAATAAAACTGATGCTATATTGCTGAATAAAGTGATAATCTATCACTAATAAAAGATTAATTAAGATTGCAGAAAGATTAAGTGTTGTAATTTTACTCACCTAAGTGAGTAAAATATGCAGGATTTGACTAAAGAATTGAACTAAAATATTAACTTTTGTTATTGCATCATTAAATTCTGGCATTATCTCCTAAAGAAGTCTGAGAAGTAAAGAACATCCTTCTGCTGTCTGAGGTGAATCCTTTAGTCCTTCCTCAAATTTTACTCAGGTCATACTTCTTGATATAACATGCCATCTCTGTAAATAAAAGCAGTAGAAGATCTGCAAGATTTGGCTCAGAATGCAGTAGAGTGGATCTATTCCATCTAACAGATGGAATTTAGAGGCTAAAATCCCAAACTCTTTAGCAATAGGTTTTGTTGCTGCTGTTTGCTAACTTTGGCAAATAAAAGTGTACTTTGCCTTTGAAAGGAAATGCCATATGCAGAGTAATTCCAACCCAGCCTCCAAGAAAGGCATTAGGAATACTCTCACTGATATCAGTGAGAATCTGGGTAAAGGCCTAAGAGTAAAACATCACTCTGACAGAACTGAAAGTATCCTCTCAGAAGACCCTGGCAGATCTCTACTCCAATTATCTGTTGTCTCTCACTGAAGGTATTACCCTACATAAAGTATCAAATTATTAAAGACAAGATTTATGGGACAAATCATAGAGACTTTTTCTCAGACTGTCATTGACTTTTTATGAAGGAAAAGTCTCCTTTTGCTTTTCTACCTTTTAAATTATTCTCTTAACTCATTTTAAATAAATAAATTCTTTCAAAAAGAAACCAGATATTATCACTACTAAAAATAAACTGAAAGCTAGGCATCGAAAAGACTTTATGGGAGAACGTTCTCTTCCACATACATTTAATTTCTTCTTCAGTTTAAAAAGCAAAAAAACAAACCCTCTCCCTCCTACTCAGACAATAAGGGTTTAAGCATTTAAAACCAGAAACAGGAAGGTTTATCTTGAAGTTTACCACCTTGTTTTGGCAAAAGAAGAACATTTGATATTTGTCTACGGCTTCTGAATGAGAATAGAGTTCAAGATAAGATCACCTTGTTGCTCTTTTGTGTACTCCATCTTAACAACACAAAGGAGACTAAAGAAACATTTTAAACATTTTGTCCCATAGAATGAACCCAAATTCTCATTTAAAGAGGGAAAAAAAACCCTAACCAGACCACTGGCTAGAGAGATCAAAAGTTAAAAAATATCAAGTGAGACAGTAAAGCACTGCAGGTGACCATATGTTAAACAAACAATTTACACTTCGAATGAATGAAAACAAATGTTCTAGTATTTATGTGGACTGAACTGAATAACTGCTGTTCTTTAGAGACTCTAAAATTCCTACCATAATGTTGTAAAATTAACAGCACTTTTCACTTGATTATCAGTGTAAACATAATTGGGCTAATTCTGCTTTCACTACAGTTTTGCAATGCTAGAAATGCTACTGAAATGAGAATGCCCTACAGATCTATCCCAGCCAAGCACAGCACAGCAGATCCTTCACAGGGAAGTTAACAGATTCGAGTCAAAGTGGTTTTGGCTGCAGGGACTGAGTGGAAACCCCAGCATAAGGAACAAACACAAACATGCACAAGCTTATTTTCCTTATTGAAATACACCAAGTAAACAGACTGATGCCCTCAAGACAGTTGGAAAAAGCCCATAGCATTGTAAACTCACTAGTTGTGCATAGAGCTTTCCCAGGGTTGAACACCATGAAGCATGGAAGCTGAAGGATGAAATTCTGATGTAGACCTTGTTCTACAAGCCTGGGAAGAGTCCTAGAGAAGCCCTGTCACAACTTATTATCCACAACCAGAGGTGTAACCACATTTGTTTACAGCATTGCACTGACCAGGATTTCCAGTGCTAAACAACTCAGTATCTAGGATCTATAGAAACAGCACAAAAAGGACCAGAGCCTGAAGAACCTTCCCAGGCAAACAATACCTTGGTAAGCCAAAAATTCTTACAAGTAGCAAAGTACTCACTGTCAAATGCTGGAAGATAAAAAAGTTAAATGGCTCTCAAGGTATTACCATACAGTGTATAGAGCAAGTGGAAGGCAATGTTAACTTTACATATGTTCAGCTATTGAAACAAAGAGACATTACATCTCGCCCCACAGATGGGGAAAAAAACCCAAAAGACAACATTAACCCATGAAACTAAGTCATGAATTAAGGGATAAAGGACTGCAAGATTCTGCCATAGTTCTGTACCCTGAATTCTCATCTTTGGTGTTACTTAAACTTCAAAAGCAAGGGGAGTCAGAAGGAGGGGCTGGGGAGACATCGGGCCTTTGGTCCCACTAATACATGAAAACGCCAGCTATTCTCTCCCGCGGGGGGGAAGCTGGTTGCTATGGGGCAGCGTGCCACGGTGATCCACTCAGAGACTGAAATTTTACCAACTCACTGTCTGAATATCTATTTAATTCCTCTCCATTCAAAATTAACTGCTCTTACTAGGAGTGCAATTATTATGAGTTTGAGGAACTTTTTTTGAAGAGCTAGGCATGCACACATTCATTCCAGAAAGAGATCTGTAAGCAAACATGAGCTGTTGTATGAAGCTCCATCTGCAGCAACAGCAGGCTGTTTATAGGCAGCAAGCCACAACATGGCCTGGGTTTTATGCATCATTTGAAAGAGTCTGAATCTAAGGGACCTGTTCTACTACAGTGACCACTAAGGACACAAAGATCCGTGACCTACAGCACCACAGTGGAACACACTGCAAAAAAATACCAACTAAAAATAGATTCCCTGTCACAGACAATTTACAGTCTAAATATATACATCTGAAGAAATGTCCATATAAATATAGATAGACGAGGAAGCACAAAAAATGGTAACACTGGTCTTAAGGATGACCCAATCTTTCAAAAGTGCGGGAAGATCTTAGGCTAGGGCCCAGGGGCCTTGGTTTTAAGCAGGTGTTGATCTCCGATATATTGGTTGCCTAATGTGAACATCACCAAGAGAAGAAAGGTTGGTGAGGAAGGAAGCATCAGTAGCCTTCCCCATTCTCAATTCTCCTTCACTACTGCCAACACATTCTGTCCGCAGAAATTGTCCTGTGTGGAATCCATAAAATTCTGGCTCCTTGCATCTGTGTTCACTGGCTCATGTCATTTGCCATTACCTTTTAATGACCCAGATACTGCTGAGCAGTGTCTGCTTCAGTCAGCTGTACCCACAGCTGAAAGGATGTAGCAGGGCTGCTTGCAAAAGAACAGATGCTGCAGTTCTATCATTGCTCAATGCCCTTTGTTAAGTATTATTGCTTTCTTTTTCTCTCTTTTACTAACTGTCATCTGAAAATCTGTTACTATTCCCTGTGCTGTTATCAAGTTGTGGATAGACTGCACCAGACTTGAAGGAGCAACACAACCTCCAAATTGCAGTAACAATCACAATATTGTACTGTTTTTTCTAGCAACAAGAAGTGAAGCTCACAGTTTTTTCTGTGCAGTAAAATATCCTTCCCAACTTCCCTCTGAAGCAGGTAGCCATGTATCAGCTTTAGGGACAGAGAAACAGGGATTCAACACCAGGCAGGAAGCCTGCATCAGAGCTGGGAACAGAATCCAGGTTTCCTGGCTCCTTGTTCTTAACAAGAACGCCTTCCCTTTCTCAAATGATAACACAAGGGTGATAAAGGATACGAGAAGCACTTTATCATCTACTTACTAAGGAGCAAACCCAAAATCTGATGGTATGAACCTCTTGTGTTGTAAATCAAGACTGAGTCCAGTGCAGTCAAGGGAGTTAACTCTGGGTAAGTGCATAGTGAATCAGGCCTAAAACACCCACAAAAATATTTTCAAATGTAAAGCCAGATATTTTGTGTTCCTAAAGTTAAAAAAATTCTAGCTTGAAGCAATGTGTTCTTCTTTCAAAACAGGTAAAACAAGAACAAGAGAGAAGTACCGAGTGGTTTACACAGATCATCAGAGATTAGAATTAGAGAAGGAATTTCATTACAACAGATACATTACAATCAGGAGGAAGTCTGAACTTGCTGCAAACCTAAGACTTTCCGAGAGACAGGTAGAGTATGGATCACCCCGTTCAGGATTTCCTTTGAATTTATTATTGCTGATTAGCATATAACTGTACTGGTTAAGAACACAAAAATGCCTTGAATGACCAAATAATACGGCTGGGTTCCCTTTGCAGTGTGGGAACTCAGACTATCCAGCTGAAAGGCCTGTTGGCACTTATTTTTAAATATCCCATCGGCACTACTTCAGCTCTCATGACATCAGAGCGCTGTGCAATACAGCAAACACCAGTCTTCCATACAGTCCTGTTCTGAGAAACAAGAGTTGAAAAATATTAACAAAATCCTGCCCAGATTTCTCTCTGTTTTACTGGGGTAGTAGTAGCAGGGAGATTTTTGCTGAAATTTCTAAAGCAGAATTCCTGGTTCTACTGAAATCAATGATAATTTTAGAACCAATTTGAACAAGGTCAGTCTTAGAGAATGGAAGTGATGAGCTCAAGTATGTTCAGGACACTTTAAGGCATTTATTTCTTTGGTTGTCTTTTACTGTTTGTTAAAGATTTCTTACATACTTCCTACTCCTTTCTCCTGCCTCTATTTCCTCCCACCAGCTCCAAATTCTACTTTTATTCCCACGATGTAAATTAAAACACAATCCTTTCTGGTCAAAAGATAAATACAATTTGCTTTGGAACACTCTGTGCCACCCCCTACCAAAGCAAAGCAAGTACATGGCCACTTCAGCTGGTTCATGCAAACAGAGATAAGATGCCACAAAGACACTCACCACACGGCCTGAGCCTACGTTTGGTCTCATTTTACTTGGGAGTTTCTTGATGCAGTACACTGAAGTATAAGCAGCAAAACAGAAAATTAAAAGCTTTACTGAAGGATCTCCCTGAATAGATTTCAGGACACAATACAGTTTCTATTTGCCAGCCATCACAGCACTATTATTCAGTGTCATTCATTGAAGATTAAGCCTGATTCACCATTGTTTCATGGGCTCTACTGAGCAGGAATAGTCCAAAATCCACCTCGTTGTAGCACTGCTCATCCAACGTGAACCTGTCTTACAAAGCACACACTGAAAGAGCTTACAGAAATGAAGGAGCAAATACCCATTTTGCAAAAATTTCTCTCCTGCTGAATGTATTTAATTATTGAAAATTAAAATTAGTACATCCGGGTATAAAAAATACACTATATGTCTTTGCTGGCTGTTAAAACCTTAAGAGCTTGACTTTATTATGATTAATTTAAAAATTATGACCCTGCTTCTGTAAATGACCAAAAATGCTTACTTGAAACTTCCTATTTCAGTGATAATTCCTGATAAGTCTTTTTGCTAGTATATTTGAAGTGGTAATACAAAAAAGATGTGATACATTTCTTTGTCATATATTGGGGGAACATGGAAACAGTTTTTGCCATATTTGTTGTTCTTCATCATCAATATGAACAAAATTAATTCCAGTGCATAAAGCCTACACCTCTCCTCTGAAGTCACTTTTGAAAATGTAAGATTAAGAAAGAAATCCTGATCTATACTGCTACTACTACCTTTTCATACAAATTAAACAACTTCCTGATATGAATGTGACTGAATACATACTGTCAAATCCCAAGTTCCACTGCACTCAACCTAAAACTTGAAATTATTTTCTGGAAAAGCTTTTTTCCTGCCTATGCCAAAATCCCATCCAGGGCACTAGAAGGAATATCTCAAGACAAAAGGACAAAGAACAATTGTTTAAATAAGGAAGGAAAGATGTAATATCTATCTAATGAAGAAAAAAAAAAAAAGGCAAACCAAAGCATTGGTAATATTGGGAGGATACAGAAATAAAGGAGATTATGAAGACAAGAAAGAAGATTGAAAGTTAGACTTCAGGGGACGAGCTACTCACACAACAGCTGAACACTGGAAAAAAAGTACTGCAAGAAAGGAGGGCAGCAGGTGAAGAGCAAGTCAGAGATGCAACTGGTCATGTTAGCTTTTAGTCTAACATTACAGACCTGTATTTACTTGTAGCTATTGTAGTTGTTTGATAATTGGCATACCACCTTGAAGTGACCACTGAAATTCTCTCTGGTTCGCTGCTGCAGATCTGCATCCCTAGTTTATAACAAACCAGAACAAAAACCTAAATTCAATGGGAAGTAAGAACATTGAAGCCAGAGGGTAATTCTGAAACAGAGGTTAGTTTGGTTTTTAGACTGTTTCATCTTTTCATGCATTTGGCAAATGCATGGGTAAAACTAGATTACCTCAGCACAATCAGAATGCAAGAGATGTGAGCATTTAAGGCTGGTTTAATGGAACATAATTTGTTACTGTAATGATATTATAGAAACTACAACAACAAAATGAACTGCCAAATGTCTCAGGTGGTCGCCTGGGACTTATGAGACCTGGTTCAAATTTCCACAAGCTTTGTGTATATCTGAATTCTTCAATTGTAAAACAGGAATAATAATGCCTCAAGGATAAGTACACCGAGAATGTCACAGACTCCTCAAGATGCTTTGTGGGACTTCACTGGTTTTCTTTTAAAAAACCATCTAGTTGCCAGAGATGTTATCACCTCT